AGCAGACCAATACAATAAGTGATGCTTTGAGAAAAGAAGAAGAATCTCTAGTCCAGGAAACGAAAGCGGTGACCGACGAGAAGTTAAATTTATCGAGACTTCATCGTCTCGAGGAAAGCATGAAGCTTAAGCTGAAGACCTCGGAGGAAGAATTGAAAGACCTCGGCAAAGCTGTTGCATCTGCGAAAGTAAGCTAAAGTTTTGTGCAACACTTCTTCACATTGCAGTATTTAGTCTGCCCACTGCATAAGCGATTAAATTTTTCTGTGCAAAATCCTATCGAACAATTTTTCTGGCATCAAACTTTTGCTGGAGGTAAACTGAATTTCGTGCTTTTAAGCAAATTAGCATCCTAGTGCTGCGTCTTGTTCTTATGAGGGAAATTTTAAGGACAAGGAAATTTTGATTCTTCTAACGTTCGACACCAGGCTGTCATCAGTAAACTGATCTTGAATTTTTTTTCTTGGATTCAATGAATGTAGGGTAAGTTCAGGATATTGGTTTTAACAACTTAGGTCAAGTTTCAATGATGTCGCCTTTTTTTTCAGGACAATGTGCATGACACGGAGATTCAGATCAAAGCAGAAGAGATGTACAACCATCAGCTGCTCGACGTCACTGTGCAGTTTGAACGACGTCGTATTGCCAATCTAGAAGCAGCTCAGGCGCGGGAATCAGAAGAGATCTGTCAAAAAATCCGGGAAGAAAATCACAATCACGTGCTATCTGTTCAATTTTTGCAAGATTTCTTGAAGGTATGCTTCCTACTTCATGTTCAGTTGCGATTATATGTTTATTATTATTGAACCCGAAGACTTTGGAGCAACAAACTCTGGAATGGAAAGCGAAATACAACCGCAACACGGAAATGATGAAGAAAGAAATAGCCTTGATGACAAACAAAAGGGTCGGATATGAAGAAAATTATCAAGAGCTTGTTGCGCTGGTGAGTTCCTGGTTTTAGTCTTCTGATTGCTAGTTCGTTTCGGGCCTCGAAACTAAATTCTTTGAAGCTATGAGAATTTCTTCATCTGTTTTAAGCTGAATAGCTTGAAAGTTCCGTTCGTAAGCCATGAAAAAATGTATGTAATTACCAAGTACACGCACGGTATATTTTTTTTAATCACAAAAATATTCAGGAGGTGGTCAATATTGGAATGTATGCCAAACGTAACAAGGAATAAAAAAAGACAAATTTTACGAGAATTCGCTGAAATTTTTAGCTAGAAAACACTTTTCATACGTCAGCTTCAATTTTGTAAAGCAAGATCTTTTTTTTTCGGTTGCTTTCATTCATTCCGAGTAGAGCCCACTATAAGATTAAAAAACCTGCTTCTAGCTCGCCCGAGTTTTTTGTGCAAAAAATCCATTATGCGTCAATTTTTTGGGGTAACAAATTTTGAACATTAGCTGGAAGAAAGAACAGCCGTTGTATCAGCATACGAAGCAGAGAAGGAACGAGCCGAGCAGGAAAAACTGATTCTGATCAAACGCGAGAAAGCCGCTGTGAAGATTCAAGCTTGGTGGCGTGGGGTTATGGTGCGGAAAAAACTTGGTCCGTACAAACCGAAGAAAGCCAAGTCTAGAAAGAAGCAAGCAGCTGCTGCTTCCGCATCTGTGAATGATGCCTTGCCGGAAGGTAAGGTTGATGAAAAGACCGCTGCTCCAAAACCTGTCCAGTCGAAACCGGTTCCCAAGAAGACAAAACCGCACAAATGATAGTTTTTTTTTTTT